TGAGGGAGGTATAACTGTAGGAAGTAAAAATATTAGACAGTTTAAACCAAGATATAGCTTGGTAAACAACATTGTCGAAAGGTTTTGTGTAGGTCTGTGTCGTTTCTGCAAATATTCTCTGATTTCTTTCTTTCCAAATATCTTAAAAAAACAATGAATGTTTACACCGAGCACATGCTTAGGACAAGCCAAAGGATATAACACAGACTGGTAATCACATTTCATGAACATGTAAATTTTCTAGTCCTGCTTTGGTGTTGTTAACACTGCGGTGGAGGTTGTCGTGAAGAATCAATGATCTTTAAATGATAGATTAGATCATTGAAGAGAATTATGTAATTCAATTTGGACAACTTCACGACACTTCTTATTGGCAAATTATAAATTATCTACTAAAAATATAAAATGAGAATGCAAAAAAATAAAAAGTAACACTACGCATTCAATATATGCAATGCTAGAAAAAAAAAATGGTGGCTGGCAGAAAAATTGATAGTTAATACAAATAAAGCGTCAGATAATACCAAATTATGAAAATAATGAGTGTGATTTCATACCATATTGTAGACGAGTCTGGGGTAATACCAAAAAAATAACCCCCAGGTTTAAGCAATAAAGACACATTATGCAAAAGTCTCCTCGCTCTCTCCTCGGTTTCGAAACACATCTACAAAAAGGTCCTTCATATTATGTATACGTCATCTAATATATGGAAGACAAGAATCAACTCTCTACCCTACAATCAATCCACATACAAATAAAAAGAAAGAAAAAAAGAGGACCTGCAGATGCTGCAAGCAGCAGACTAGATCGGCTGTCTCAGCTTTATCTTTCATCTGAGTTTCAATATTTTCCTGTCAAAACAGATAAAGTCAGATGGAAAATAACAGAAAGAACTTGATGTTACATTCTACCTGATAACATACACATACACATTTTGTGACTAATGGCATTATAAGTTTAACACTTGCATTATAACTAGAGGCCCAAATGGATTAGCATTGATCACGATGACAATTGTTCGACACGTAAATAATGATATAAAAGTTCCAGGTTGCGAATGCATGGACGTGCTGGTGTGTGAAGTGAATTCCAGTCCCGTTGACGTGCGGACTTGAACATTTCTTTGTTACCGAAGTTTAATAAATGATGGCAAGCAGAAGAGAGGAAAAAAAAAAGATTTTCATTCTACTTCACGATTCTTTCAAGTAAAACTTTGATTTCAACATTCATATTATAAAGACATACTGATCAAGGACATCATTTTCGAAAGCAGGACATAGTTTTTCTTTGCAATATCTCAGTTATTTATTTTTGCTCTTTCTCTAAACAAATGCACTTTTCACTAAAAGTTACGTCCTGTTCATCACAAAAGCTATAATCTCAAATGAGAAAATACATAGATATATAGTTCAACCAGTGCCCTCTTCATGGGCTAATCTAGTATTCTGTGATTGTTCTTTGCCCTATTTATTCCAATAAGCATGAGCAATAATGATATTAGAGCAGTAGAACTGATAATGCTGAAATTTTGAGCACTTATAGAATGATTCAATTCATTTTTTGGCCAGCCCCTTATACTCAACACGCTGATTAGGGAAGCCTCTTTAAATAGATTCATCAAGTATGTGAAGGAATTTCAGAGAACTGTTCGTGAAAACGATTAATCAAATAAATGCAGCCTAATTTGGTTCTTAGTGAGCATTAATCAAATATTCCATGCCATCAAAACAATGTTGCATAAGTATTAAGAATAAAACTACATGGCATGAATTTGAAACGTCTCAGTACTTGTCTATCTTAAGAATCTATTTGTTGTACAATCATGTTCACTACTATAGAGCGACTTCGAAAATCTTTTAAGGAAGTAGCATTTATCATAAAGGAAAATTTCAAAGACGATAATATTTCACTTGGGCATCTCCTGGACAGATTTCCTCCCAATACTAATGAATTCTGTGACCAAGAACACTTACAGAACAATCTGTTTGATCCAAGTTTACAATAAAATCCTTAAAGGGTCAGATATATCGCTTGCCTCCAGAACTAGTAGAGGAAGGAAACAATGATCGCATCATACAGTTATGTTTTATCCTTAATTTAGTGAATGGTTACTGATAAGAGTACTTTCAACTTGCATAGAACTTTGTAGTTTCATGGAAATCCTCCCTCAGTTGTTATTACTCTCAATAAATTGATATTTCTTGGATTTGAAAAGGAAGATAAAGAATTAGGAGCAGAAAACTCACCACGCAAGGATCAACTTCAAAGAATTCAGCAGTGTAAGCCTTCCTCTGGCTCTCCCATGCCTCCCGCATTTGGCCGATTCCAGAAGTGGATCCATCTAAAGAATAGCAATTCCATCAAAAGAACAATACAAGAAAAAAATACAACAAAGCAACTTCTTCTGATGAAAAGAAGCAAGAATCTCAGAAAAAACCTAGATACCAATTCCAATATAGTGACTGAATTGAGCTTCGTCCCACTTCTCCGCATCCGTTCCTCGTGCACAATACAAATCACAAACCTTCATAAACAAAACCTAATTACATCTTGCATAAATTCCTTTCAACCTAAATCAAATACGCCAATTGAAGACGAAGTTTAACGACGAACCGTAACGTAGGGGTGCGCGAAGATCTTTATTAGGGCGGCCTTGGCGAAATCGTACAGGCGGTGGTGAGTCGACTCGGTCCTCGACGGAACAAGTTGACTCATTATGATTCCGAGTTGACAGTTCCTGGTAGCCGGAGCAACGATTCGCGCCTTTTTTTACCCTCAAATTCACCCACGAGACTGATTAAAGAAGATTAAAAATGTCATGGGAAGATAATATTTTTATTAAAAAAAAAATTAAAAAATTTTATGGTTTTTTTTTTTTTAGTTTTTAAAATTTTTTAAAAGTATTATAATTAAAAATTTTAAAATATTTCAAAACTAATAATGGTATTTTTTATTTTTTTTATTTTAAGAAAATCTTTTAAACTTTTCTAAAAATTTAAAAATATTATTCAAATTTTACCGTGGTGACATAAATTGAAAGTTAATAAATAACTATCCTCTTCGAGGTAAATAATTTGAAACTTAAAAGATTTGTGCAGCATTTGCTTTACCAAATCTTGAAAGGTAAATTTTATATTTTATATATTTTGGGTAAAAATGAATGGTATTAGTTAAAATTCTAAACTAACTACTCTCTCAATTTAAGCTCTAAATTTTATTCCAAAAATAAATTAATTTTAATTTTTATAAATAAATCAAATTTAAATTATCTGTTTTCCATGCATATTCATTTTTTTTCGAGGTGAGAGTCTAGATGGTTCATTTTTTTAAATTTAAAAATTTAAATAATATAGTGTGAAATAAAATTTATTAAACAAAATTTAATTATAATATATATATAACTCTCAAAGTTTAAGGATTTAAATTTATAAATTGATTTTTGACGTAATATTTTTTTATATCAATTTAAGCATAGTTTATTATACAGACATCAATATATCGACATCAATATATCATCTTTCAAAGCATCTCCAATAGTTGAACTCAATAAAAAAATTAATATTTCTATTTGTTGCTTCAAATTTTCACTTTTCACCATTTTGTTGGGAATTTGTTCGACCCTTTTTATTCTTTGAACCAAAAAAGTTACCATTTTCTATTTTATGAAACAAAAGAATTCATTTTTTAAAGAAAAAAAACTTTAAAAAGTGAAAATGGAATTTCATATTCATCCAACAAGAAATATTATAATAATTGCTTTCATTAAAATTTAAAAAAAAAAAAAGATGTTTGTTTTTATTTGAATAATAAGTTTAGTGATAATTTGTAAAATAAATTTACGTGCGGAACCATCTTCCATCACTTTCTACTATTATTATTATTTTTTTTTTTTTTTTTTTTTTTTTTTTTTTTTTTTTTTTTTTTTTTTTTTTTT